CGAAGTCTGGGGCCTCATATGTGAAGGTCTCAGCCAGGGCTTCTTGGAACTCTGCATCTGAATCTGATTCTGTTTCCACTTGCTGACTTTTTGGTCTCCTTTTTGCTCTCATTTTCTTCCGTCTCTGGCTGGTGGGGGCAGGTGATGAGGTTGACTGGTCTGCTGTGGTGGTAGTCTGGGTGGATGCTGTTGCCTGGGTGACTTGTGCTGGGTTCGACTCCGGTGGTGGTGGTTGCGGTATGACTGCGGTTACTGTTGGTGTTGGAATTTCGTCTGTTTGGGTTGAAGCAGCGTTGTGATGTTGAAATAGGTCTGCTGGTATCAACATTGTAGGCAGGTTGTTCTGGGCGAGCAGCCTGTTCAGTACTCTCACGTATTTTGCGTTGTCTGTTCCCGCCTCTCTCTCAGCTACACTGATCAGGCATGGGATGAGAGTGGTGTTGGTCGAGGCCGCTGATTGGTTGACAGTCAAGTTGGTTGGCTGAGCTGCAGTCGCCTGTGTCCTGGGTCCCCATTGGGGGGTGGTCTGGCCTGGTGTGGACGTCTGTGTAGCAGGAGCAGAAGCGTTGGGAAGCACTGGAAACGATGTAGCTTGGATATTGAAGCTCGCCGGCTGATTGGTTGTTGGGTTGGCAGTTACTGTTTTATTTATTTCATCTAGTCGTACTTGGCAGTCCATGGAGACGGCGATGTGAGCTCCTCCACAATTGAGGCACAGTTTGGTGGTTGACCGGCAGGTTTTGAAGTGATGATCCTGGGTACAAATGCTGCATTTAACCTCTGCTTGTTGGCAGTTCTTGGTATCATGATCGTACTTGTAGCACTTAAAGCACTGGCGAATGTTGTAGTACCGTTCCTTCTTTACAGTGTCAGGTGTGATGGAAATATCCAGACATCTAAATCCATTTTCCACAGCTTGGGTCGCTGCAGCAGCTGTTGTGAAGGTGACCTTGAGAGTAGGCCTAGGGTTGTCGTTGTTCTTGATGACCTTGACTGTAGCAGCAGTCAGAGCCGGGTTTCTGGTGTTGATACTATCAAGTATGGTACCAGGGTCTTGGGTGGCGATGTAGACACTTGTGTGGCTGACGAAGATGGTTCGTTCAGCCAAGTAGCGACGGTTAGGAGTGATGATCAGGTTGGCGTTTCGTAGGGCGTCCTGGTGTTCTGGTGCAAACAGTTGCTCCAGAGCTTGCTCGCTTGAATAAAGAAGTACAGCGCCGTCAGCATCGTCACGGATGTCCAACGGGGCTGCGTTCGTGATGTCAACGATTTTCCTTAGTAATTGGGGTCCGGTGTAAGTGGTTTCGTCACGAAACCGGACCTTTATGCGGTAAATCATGGCTCTACGTTGCTGCCTAATATTTACCCACCCGGCAGTGCTGGGTGCAGAGAGCCTGATCTAGGTTTTCGGTTTATCTTTATCTTTATCTTTATCTTTATGCCGCCCCGCAGATCGAGCTTCGTGTTATATACCCCGCTCAGGATCAAGGGAGCCCGCCACTGACCAATCAGCGCGCTCCGCCACGCGACCCGCTCTGAGCTGAGTCGCGAGCGGGATATAAAAGGAAAGCTCGCCTCGCGCAAAAGTCACATCATCATCAGAGTACTTTGCTTTAAGAGGTCAGACCCCACCCTGATCCGGTGCATTAAACCGGTAAGAGACGGGAGACCTCTTAAGGAAAGTGCAACCCTCTAGATCAGGCTCTCCTGCACCCAGCACTGCCGGGTGGGTAAACATTAGGCAGCAACGATTAGAGCCATGATCTACCGAATCAAGGTACGATTCAGAGGGAACCAGATCCCTACTCGATCAGAGATATCGGATTTGATCACCACTACAACCAATGTTGCACCCCTGGACGTCGTACTCAACGATGATGGACTCCCTCAACTACTGTTCAGCAGTGCCGAGGCCGTACAACGCCTCTTTAACCCCATTCACCTCACTGCTCTCGAGGAGGCGCACATGTTCCTCACCCCACCACGACACTACCTCGCAGCCAGGACTGTTTTCGTAAGGAGAGTGAGCTCCCTCATCTCCGAAAAAGCTACCACCGACGTCGCCACCAGCATAACCGAAGACAACCCTTCCTTGACTGCAGTCACCGTAAAATTCATCCCTGTGCAGGACAGCCACCTCTCCACTATGAAGGTCACCTTCACCTCGCCTGAGGAAGCTACCTCTGCTACCACCAACGGCTTCCGGTGCTTCGGCCTCGCTTGTACACCCCGACAAATAACAAGAGAACATTACTACCAGCTACGACAGTGTTTTAAGTGCTATAGTTATGAGCACTTCACTAAAAATTGCCCATCTCAGGACCAACGGTGCAGCAAGTGCGCCGAGAGTCACCACTTCAAACAATGCACCAGCGACTTCCTCAAATGCCTTCTCTGCCAAGGTCACCATACTGCCGTCTCTGCTGAGTGTCCACAAAGACGTCAAGAAATACAGAAGATGACCGAAGCCAGGCAAGCCAACACCACACGACGAGAACCGTCAACATTCAACGTGCAAGCCGCCAACTTTCCTCTGCTTCCGGGAGGGGGCGGAGCTTCTGCACAGACTGCATCCCATTGGGGCCCTGGGTCCCAGCCCGCCAACCAATCATCGACGCAGCAGCAACAGCCACAACTTTACTCTGCTGAATCAACAAGCCAGCCCTCACCACACCAGATGCTGCTCCCTAACAGAAACCATAACGTCATAATGGGACTCATCCGCACTGCTGAAATGATTGCAGGCACGAACACCAAGGAATTTGTACGAATTCTGAACATTATGTACGCTGACAACGGTTTACCAACATTTACTGTTCGTGACGAGCTCTTCACAACAACAGCCTCAGCCAACACCAATACTACGACTTCAGCATCAAATACCACTTCTGCTTCTAACATCAACATCACCATCTCTTCAACTGCATTGGCAGATATCCTGTCTGCTGACGCCCACCCTGTGCAACCTGCTACAGACTCTGCAACATCCTTGCACACTGCTACTACTCCAGACGAACCATCTACTTCTCCAGTGGTACCTGAGACTGCACCAACTTCACCAGCTTCACCAGAAAATACACCAGCCGCACCCGAGACTACACCAGCTTCACAGGTACCTACACCTGATGCTTCTGAAAACCAACACTTGTTTTCCGATGATGACTCTACTGCCTCGATTGACGTTGAAGCACAATCACCATCTCCAGCAACACAGGAGTCTCCAAGAGTCTCCGCACTATATGATCAACGTGAACAACTTACACTTGGAACTCCCGAATACAGACGCCTCTCCAGCAAAATACTCAACACAAGGTATGCGGAATGCCTGCTGAATGATCCAAACTCAAAGTACACACTAAGGAACGAAGTAATCTTCGTTGAATGCGACGAAACCACATTGTCAAAGGACCTTTTCCCACCAGACTACGCCGATTACAAACATCAAATGATTACTCGAAGCAAGAAGAAAGAAGAAACACCAAATTGAAGAAGAAGAAGACACCACATGAAGACTGATTGTTTCCACCTTGAATGCTGAAGCACTGCCACCTCCGCCTTTCAGACCCGCCTCCAAACCTAGCCAGTTGTTGGGTTGTTTGCAGCATCGACGTATTGCCACGCAGCTGGGTTTAGCCCTGGCACTTTTTCTTCAACTTCAGCATTTCCTCTCACCGACTACTCTTCAGCTGTCCCCACTTCAAGGCTCGCCCCAATGGGCATCTTCTCCTGTATTATTCAATTCAGTTCAGTTCGCAAAAGTTCATTATTGTATCGCAACGCCAGCCAGCACGAGCATCATCATGCCACCCAAGGCATCTGGAAAGGCTGCCAAGAAGGCCGGAAAGGCCCAGAAGGCCATTGCCAAGGGCGATAAGAAAAAGAAGCGCTGGAGGAAGGAGAGCTACAGCATCTACATCTACAAAGTGCTGAAGCAGGTCCACCCCGACACTGGTATCTCTTCCAAAGCCATGTCGATCATGAACTCGTTCGTGAACGACATCTTCGAGCGCATCGCCGCCGAGGCTTCTCGCCTGGCCCACTACAACAAGCGTTCCACCATTACCAGTCGGGAGATCCAGACGGCTGTAAGGCTCCTGTTGCCCGGAGAACTGGCCAAGCACGCCGTCTCTGAGGGCACTAAGGCCGTCACCAAGTACACCTCCTCCAAGTAAACGGCTTACTTACTGCCCTGTGGTGGTGGCTTGGCCTCAAACCAACAAACTCGGCTCCATTGGAGCCACACTTTAATTTCTAAAGAGATTGTGAGTGTTAGACACCAATACTATTATAACAAAAACCTCGGTCACTGAAAGCAAATAGCTATAAAATGAGAATATTTATGAAACTGTCTGTGTGTGTTTCTCTCTCTCAGTCTCTGTCTGTCTGTCTGTCTGTCTGTCTGTCTGTCTGTCTGTCTGTCTGTCTGTCTGTCTGTCTGTCTGTCTGTCTGTCTGTCTGTCTCTCTCTCTCTCTCTCTCTCTCTCTCTCTCTCAACACACATATAAACACTCGGTATCTTTTTTCTAGAGATTAGAGATTCATTGTTATGTTCCACATTAGGATTACTATGCAGGCCACCCTCTTAAGGTTTGAAAATGTCAAGAAAACGGTTAATTTAAAATGTCATCTCCTAACTTAACAGATTAAGCCAGAGGACCAAAAACAGAATAAAACAGGACAGGACAGTATGTCACTTATACAAGCTGCTTTTATTTCTAGTACAGTATGACAATTTTTTTTTGGGGGGGGGAGGAGGATCCTTGGCAGTGCATAAGAACGAAAAGCGACGGCGTTTTGTTTGTAAGAGGACAGGTTGTACTACAAATGACTTGATTTATTGATATCACGTGTACAGTGTATGTATGACACCTAAATTAGTGTATTTATTTATTTATTATATGTATAGACGAAGGTTAATTCATATGACTGATGCTAGGAATGTCTGAAATCTCCTTAGAAGGATATTTTGGCCCTGAGAAGGGCCGAGTTTGGTGTATAATAGGGTGGTCGTTTTAGCTTATGCACGCTCTCCACGGATACGGCGAGCAAGCTGAATGTCCTTTGGCATGATGGTGACACGCTTGGCGTGGATGGCACAGAGGTTAGTGTCCTCGAAGAGACCGACCAGGTAAGCCTCGGATGCCTCCTGTAAAGCCATGACGGCAGACGACTGGAAGCGAAGATCGGTCTTGAAGTCCTGGGCAATCTCGCGCACCAGACGCTGGAAGGGAAGTTTCCTGATGAGCAACTCTGTGCTCTTCTGGTAACGACGGATCTCACGCAGGGCGACCGTTCCGGGCCTGTAACGGTGAGGCTTCTTCACGCCCCCTGTGGCAGGAGCAGACTTGCGTGCTGCCTTGGTGGCCAGCTGCTTACGAGGAGCCTTGCCTCCCGTGGACTTGCGAGCAGTCTGCTTGGTGCGAGCCATGGTGAACAACTGTGGTTTGTGATGGCCGGAGCGAAGCGAAGCGAAAATGTCCATAGAGCTGGCAAGTAGGGGATGGAAGAACGGGGCGAGGCTGCAGAAATCTTGAGCAAGGATCCGGGGATGAGGTGAAGAGGGGAGATGAAAGATCGGTGGCCCAACCACCGTGGATTCGAGCTTGATCAGATGAAAGTAGAATTGAGTGGGGTGTCATTTGCAATACACACAGAGGCCGGGAACGCAAGCAGCTGGCAGTGGAGGTTTGATGTCAGATGATGTTAAGTCAGTTCGTTAGGAGTCTTCTTTCTTGTTGATTTCACCAAACTTTGATCGTTGTTCTTTTTTTTGGGCTTGTCGGTCTTGGTGGTCACGGTTCGTGTTGATGCTTGAAGGTGATCTTTCCTTGGGGGTGATGGTGTACCGACAGATACGTCCTCATCCGATTCATCAGATGAGTGAGGAGCAGGGGTGTTGACACGCTGGGGTAGATTTCTTGAAGGTTGGGTTCTTGAGGGTTGATGTCTTGAAGGTAGAGTTCTCGGAGGGTGTGTAACAGCGGTAGGTACTGCAGCAGAAGGTGCTGCATAGTCGGTACCCTCTATAGGGTCACACCAAGGGTCGATAGCAGCGAAATTCGCCACTGAGACGGGTGAAGGGACAGCAGCAGCTGGAGAAGCGTGTGGAGCAGGAGCTGACAGTATGTCAGAAAGCGTGGCTGCGTTCACAGTGATGTCATGGTTGGTAACGGGAACTGATGCAGAAGTGGGGGTCACATGAGGCAGAGTCTTGTGAGCTGTAGGTACCCGAACAGGATCTGAGGGCTGCATTGCAGTGGCGGAATCGTCGTCGTCGGATGTAGAGTCAGCATCCTCCTCTACAGGGTCAGTTGTTGGAGATGAACGCGGAGCGTTGAAAACTTCCTCAGGAACAATGAAGGTAGGGAGACCGTTCGCCTTGTACAGAATTTTCAGAAGCCTCACAAATTCTCGGGGTTATTGCCAGCAGTAATTCTGGCTGTTGATATCAGAGCTTTTACTGTGCTCTGCCCAATTAGCTTTGTCTTTGGTTGGGCCGGTGGCGATGGCTGGCTCGACGAATCGCTGGTTGGCGTTTGGGAGCTGGCTCCCCATTGGCTGGTAGTAGCAGTGGGACGTCCTCCCGGGAGCTCCGGGAAGATGGCGGCTTGGGCGTTGAAACCTGAAGTAGAGGTGGTCGCTGATTGGCTTGTTGCTTCAGAGGTGCTGGCTCCGGTTGAAGATGTGGATTTCTCCATGTTTTTAATAGCGTTTTGTCTGTGAGGACAATGTATGGAGATTGCTGGATGATCGCCTTTGCACAGCAAGCAGCATAGTGTTTCAGACTTGCAGATGGAGTAATGGTGGTCAGCTGAGCAGAGGCTACACTTCTGAATCCGCTGGGTACATTTGCTGGTGGAGTGGGTGTACTCGTAGCATCGGAGGCACTGGTTGACGATGTGAAAACGTTCCATCTTCACACGGAAAGGCGGAATGTGAATTCCAAAGCTGTAAACTCCATTTCTCGTAGCCATAGTAGCCGCAGCTACCGTCTCGAAGGTCAGCTTCAGGGAGCGACTTGAATTGAAGAATTGAGCTTGGTGAAGCCGTAGGTCCGGGTTTGATGCCTTGAAGTCGCGCATGAACGCACTATCATCAGCGTCATCTTGTTCCACGATCCATTGACTGAGATCGTGAATAACGACAGAGTGTTCAGCCAGGTACTGGCGTGGGAAGTTGAGACGAAGGCGTTGGTTGGAGAAGTTAGCGCTGTAAGACAGAAGTTTGTCGACTTCCTCCTCACTATAAAAGAAGAAAAGGATGTCCGTGCCTTCCTGCTTGATGTCGTTGGGTGTTACTCCTGCAACGTCTTTAAAGAGCTTCAGGAGAGATGTCTTGGAGAATGGTTGTTCGTTGAGGGGCGTACCCCTGATCTTGAAGCGTTTGTGACGCATAATGAGCTTCCTGGAGGCCGATGGATCTCTCTCAAAGACTACACGTCACTGAAGATGGCCTCCCGTCTCTACCCGGCATAAAATACCAAGTTAGGAGTGGGGTCTGACCATCTAGAGAGACGCAAGTCTGCTGCCAATTGTTTATCCACCCTGCAGTACTAGGTGCGAGAGAGAAGAGCTGGAGCAACGCGAGCACGTCCGACCGCGACGGTTGCTAGTTGCTCGTGATGGCCGGATTAACGGATTAAAAAGTCCATAGAGCTGGCAAGCAGGGGATGGAAGAACGGGGCGAGGTTGCAGAAATCTTGAGCAAGGATCTGGAGATGAGGTGAAGAGGGGAGATGAAAGATCGGTGGCCCTACCACCGTGGATTTGAGCTTGATCAGATGAAAGTAGAATTGAGTGGGGTGTCATTTGCAATACACACAGAGGCCGGGAACGCAAGCAGCTGGCAGTGGAGGTTTGATGTCAGATGATGTTAAGTCAGTTCGTTAGGAGTCTTCTTTCTTGTTGATTTCACCAAACTTTGATCATTGTTCTTCTTTTTGGGCTTGTCGGTCTTGGTGGTCACGGTTCGTGTTGATGCTTGGAGGTGATCTTTCCTTGGGGGTGATGGTGTACCGACAGATACGTCCTCATCCGATTCATCAGATGAGTGAGGAGCAGGGGTGTTGACACGCTGGGGTAGATTTCTTGAAGGTTGGGTTCTTGAGGGTTGATGTCTTGAAGGTAGAGTTCTCGGAGGGTGTGTAACAGCGGTAGGTACTGCAGCAGAAGGTGCTGCATAGTCGGTACCCTCTATAGGGTCACACCAAGGGTCGATAGCAGCGAAATTCGCCACTGAGACGGGTGAAGGGACAGCAGCAGCTGGAGTAGCGTGTGGAGCAGGAGCTGACAGTATGTCAGAAAGCGTGGCTGCGTTCACAGTGATGTCATGGTTGGTAACGGGAACTGATGCAGAAGTGGGGGTCACATGAGGCAGAGTCTTGTGAGCTGTAGGTACCCGAACAGGATCTGAGGGCTGCATTGCAGTGGCGGAATCGTCGTCGTCGGATGTAGAGTCAGCATCCTCCTCTACAGGGTCAGTTGTTGGAGATGAACGCGGAGCGTTGAAAACTTCCTCAGGAACAATGAAGGTAGGGAGACCGTTCGCCTTGTACAGAATTTTCAGAAGCCTCACGAATTCTCGGGGGTTATTGCCAGCAGTAATTCTGGCTGTTGATATCAGAGCTTTTACTGTGCTCTGCCCAATTAGCTTTGTCTTTGGTTGGGCCGGTGGCGATGGCTGGCTCGACGAATCGCTGGTTGGCGTTTGGGAGCTGGCTCCCCATTGGCTGGTAGTAGCAGTGGGACGTCCTCCCGGGAGCTCCGGGAAGATGGCGGCTTGGGCGTTGAAACCTGAAGTAGAGGTGGTCGCTGATTGGCTTGTTGCTTCAGAGGTACTGGCTCCGGTTGAAGATGTGGATTTCTCCATGTTTTTAATAGCGTTTTGTCTGTGAGGACAATGTATGGAGATTGCTGGATGATCGCCTTTGCACAGCAAGCAGCATAGTGTTTCAGACTTGCAGATGGAGTAATGGTGGTCAGCTGAGCAGAGGCTACACTTCTGAATCCGCTGGGTACATTTGCTGGTGGAGTGGGTGTACTCGTAGCATCGGAGGCACTGGTTGACGATGTGAAAACGTTCCATCTTCACACGGAAAGGCGGAATGTGAATTCCAAAGCTGTAAACTCCATTTCTGGTAGCCATAGTAGCCGCAGCTACCGTCTCGAAGGTCAGCTTCAGGGAGCGACTTGAATTGAAGAATTGAGCTTGGTGAAGCCGTAGGTCCGGGTTTGATGCCTTGAAGTCGTGCATGAACGCACTATCATCAGCGTCATCTTGTTCCACGATCCATTGACTGAGATCGTGAATAACGACAGAGTGTTCAGCCAGGTACTGGCGTGGGAAGTTGAGACGAAGGTGTTGGTTGGAGAAGTTAGCGCTGTAAGACAGAAGTTTGTCGACTTCCTCCTCACTATAAAAGAAGAAAAGGATGTCCGTGCCTTCCTGCTTGATGTCGTTGGGTGTTACTCCTGCAACGTCTTTAAAGAGCTTCAGGAGAGATGTCTTGGAGAATGGATGTTCGTTGAGGGGCGTACCCCTGATCTTGAAGCGTTTGTGACGCATAATGAGCTTCCTGGAGGCCGATGGATCTCTCTCAAAGACTACACGTCACTGAAGATGGCCTCCCGTCTCTACCCGGCATAAAATACCAAGTTAGGAGTGGGGTCTGACCATCTAGAGAGACGCAAGTCTGCTGCCAATTGTTTATCCACCCTGCAGTACTAGGTGCGAGAGAGAAGAGCTGGAGCAACGCGAGCACGTCCGACCGCGACGGTTGCTAGTTGTGATGTCCCGTGATGGCCGGCGCCGAAAAATTTTTGCTTATATACGCCGTCTCGAGGCGCTTGCTCGAGCGCCATTGGCTGCTCGACTCGCCTACGTCACCCCGTTGCCCCTCCCCTTCTTCCTCAGGCTGCAGCCAACAGGCAGCTCACCTCAAACACTATTATCGCTGATTTTGCTCTATTTTTTGGATTTGTGCAAAAGTCATTTCACAGAGACGTGAAACAGACGAGTAGGCAACTGCAGTTTTGAAAGCGTTGTGAGAAAACCGTGTTTCTGCTCGAGTACAAGCATAAAGTAAGGACAGGCAGGAGTTAGGAGTTGCCATGCTACAAGTACGTCCGCTTGACGGGATATAGTCTGGGGAAATCGTGCCAAAAACATCTATTCTTTCTTGGCCCTGATTTCCCCACTTGTTTCACACATACAGGTTCTGGCCGGCCTGATCTCATATTCACCAACAGACACGGCAGCAACTTGCAACACTTCATTTCACCAGGGCCCATTACGGGCTCTGATCATATTCCCTTAATTCTCACAGTCTCCACAAATCCTATTCTCATCCCCAGCACTCCTCAATTCTCATACCATAGGGCAAACTGGGACATGTTCAAACAACACATTGATGACACTGATCTCACTTATGAATACAATGACAAACATCA